CATGCACAAGACCAGTCACAAGTAACAGGGTGAACAATGACAAAGGAATACTTTTGTTGCAGCTTTGAACATTTGAACAGCTTGTGACTTCAATTCACACTGGAGGTCTTGTGTTGGTCTTGCGTTGGTCTTGTGTGGCCTTGTGAAGGTCTTAAGTGGTCTTGACTACAACACGGGTTTTTCCCCAACTTTCTAAAACACCATGCTACCTTCTTATCTCTCTCCAAAACTCACTTTGAGCCTTCTGACTATTTTTTTTCAGAAGGCACAGTCTAATACCAGACAGCCATAAAATAGTGAAGTAATAACAACTACAGTAAAGATGTTGAACTTGCAGATGAAGGTCAATTAAAACTCACTCTGGAAGCTATGCAAGGGGACATTTGATGTCATGAAGCAAAGGGGTTCAACTTTTGCCAATTCCCTGGGCAAATATCTGAACTGAACAATGACTACTCCCCACCTGGTGTAGTTGTCTCTGTTGAAGGCACAGTGGGTTGGGCCCCAGCATCAGCAGGATTGGGGATTTCAACAGGGGGGTCTGGAGAGAATCGCACTCCAGCAACGCCTTTCTCTATTTTACTCATGCCTTTATCTGGTGTTGATGCAAGAGAAACCTGAAGAAACAAAACAAGGAAACAAAATCCACGTTAACCACTTCCTGCCAGGGATTCCAGATCTGGACATGTATGCTTTATATGCGTGGCCGGGGTCTCCAAACTCGGAAAGAGGGAACAGGGCCTTGTAACAAAAGACCATACTCGGAACAAACGGCCAGGCTGCTGGGAATTACCGACATTTCTTCACTCTCAAAAGTGGAGATAATCCAGTCTTGTTTTGAAACAGTATACTGTCTGGTTTGGGGCATTGAGAACGAACAGATTACCACCGGGGACAAAAGCGCTCCACCACCACAGCGATGAGCCACACAGCACCGCTGCACGCTAATCTGGCCCCTATTGAAAAGAGGTTAGCAGTGCACTGAGCCAGGTTCGTGAACAAAAGAATGTTATATAACACCGCACAATCTGGCTCTTTTTACAAGGCTGCTGGCCTGGCTGAGATACTCAGGCGTCAATGATTGTGTCTGTCAGGCTAGAGTGGACACCAGACAGTCCTTAACGTGTTTGTAAGTTTCCAGTACATGAAGATAGGAATTTTTTTAGAATTTTGAAAACAGAAAAAAATGATAAATATCCCGGCCCAGCATCATCAACATTGATAACTGCCCCAACAGGAAGCGGTTAACACAATCCGAAGTAGTTTTACCACTGCTTAATAATAATGAAGATGTTTCTGCACTCATATCCTCCAACACCGGTGGTTAAGGTGCTAAACGTACACATAACGATTTAGTTCTCAACAGGCCCAGAATTATTCCTCTAACCATCTCAGCTCTCTGGAGTGTACAAAGGTACACAGGCACTATCTGGCTAATTTACAATAACCGTCTCTGCCCTCAAAGGTGGATTTATACTCCTGGGTTAAGAGAGGCAAACGGGGGAGGGGGGTTATTGGATTTCCCTAAAGTCATGGCAAATTCCTGCCACTGGATTAGAACCCCTAACCCTTAGATGAGGAATCAAGTGTACAAACCCTGACTACACATCCTTTTTTGTATCTTAGAACTCAGCAAAGTACAAACTGCAAGTTCATATAAATTGTAAACACATGAACCAATTGAGCATTTTTAACAATAGGCCATCCACTATCTATCAAGCACACTCCAAGGTTTGACAGATTTGTGATTTGTTTCAAGAGCGTACTGCCCAGGCCCAGTCTTGACTCCCAGGTTTGTCCACATCACCAGGTTACTTCAGTGCTAGATTTTGGCAGATTAACCCTGTCTTGGTAGGATTGCTAGAAACTGTCCATATTCCTTCACTGTGTTGAAAACCAAAGGTGAATTCTTTCTTCTTTAACATCAAAGGGGCAGCAAGCCCCACAAAAAGTAATGATGGATGGTCTCTCCCTTCTTCAATCGTACAAAACTCAGGTGGATTTTGAAGGATTTGGGATGGTTGTGTTTGAAGGTCGATTTGCACTTCTTGCCATTGTAAACTAGTAGTAAATTTTAAATTCTGAACAACTGCTAAGCAATTCGCCAAAGCTGAAGTGTGAGCTGCTTCTGAAAATGTACAGCTTAAATGCTTGATGTGCCCTACCAGGTTCATAATCATTCTTGCAGTAAGTACAAACCAGGATTTAGAATATTTCTTAATGAACAATTGAACTGGCTGAGTCAAAAGTTAGAGTTTAAAATGAAGAAATTTTAAAATAGTTGTACAATTTCCACAAAATGAAGCACTCACTTCAGCAAATCCATCTCCAGGTGTTACTTTGACGTTATCTACATTTTCCAGAGGAACCAGTGGTGCATTGAGATGGGCAGAGAAGGTCATCTTCCGTCCTTCAGGGAAGTAGCGTGTGGGTATCCGATGGAGGTAGCCGTACCCAATACCACAGCCTAGACTAGTGGTGGGAAGGAAGGAACATCAGTCAAATGATTTCTTGTGGGACCTGTCAATGTCATCCATTAAGGTCTCCCCTGTTGGGAGGTGGCTCACTGAACCTCATTGAGACTTTTACCCATCTGTAACTTTGTTTTAATGAAGCGTATCAACCAACATGTTGATAAAAATCTCTAGCTTTTTTTTCAAGCAACAGTATATCAAATTCAAGTTGACACACACTTATAAATGTCAACATATTCATCCAACAACTCTTTTCTAGTGCGGCTAAGGTAACGCTAAGACTGTGGTTACTGATACAAAATTCAATTCAAACATGATGATGAAGTACCCCTTTGGAGGTAAAAAAAAAAAAAATTCCACTATTTTCACTTGTCAACAAAATGACTTTAAAAAATCAAGAACAAACATGACAGCTAGAAAGAATTTAGGGTTTGAACTGGAAATACTGTTAGAAACAATGAAATAATTTATCTGTAGGTTTCACATCTGTATAGAGACTCTATAGAGACAACTGGGGCAGTTTGGAAGTGACTGTTCCTACTTACATGCCTTCACCACCCCAGGTACGGTTGGGAGTGATTGTGATTTCCCTACATCCATCCGTCTCCACATTGTACACATACAGCTTCAGGGGTCGATTCTCATGTGACTCAATAAGTGAAAACAGATCTTCTGACTGAAACACAAGAACACGGAAATTGTGCTCTATTTACAAACCCAGTTTACCGTAACATGTGCTTAAAGGTTTAATTTTTTGTTCCAAATTCTTATTTTAACTAAAGATGTCATACTAAAAGGCATGATTTCAGCCACTTTTTAATGTCACTTGATAAACACTACCAATGATAATGCTTAAGAGTTCTTCAGATAACTTTTTGAAGCCATACAATGAAACCTCACCCAACACTGTGATATGAGTAAAGAGGTCTAAAGGTAACTTCTGAAGTCATGTGATGAAACGTCACCACCAGTGCTACGTAGAGCTCTTCATGCAATTCAATTGCATATGATATCAAAATCTCACAAGTTGAGTTTTGTATTTCATTTGCATGGAAGGTCTCAAATCCATCAAATTATGTCCATACCTCATGTAAGATGGTGTCAGCCCCAATGATGTAGTCCGTGTTGGATCTAAACCCAGCCAAGGCAGCTGGGGAAGTTGGCTGTACATCCTGAAGCATTATGAAGTCGAACAAAACCCACATCAAACCTGTCAAATCCTTGCATCTCTTTTGTGTCATCAACAAGGTGTTTTTGCATATTTGTGGCAGGGACATTAGCATCCTTTTAAAATATATGTAATGGTGGTTGGGATCTAGAGTCTAGGAGCCATTCAAATACTGCAAAAACTAAGTCTGGGTGTTTGAAAGTTAAGAATAATGAGGGAAAATTTGGACCATATATATAAATTAACTTGTATTGTCTCAGTAATAGACCTATGCATTGATATACTGTAGTCATGCTTTCTTGACATGTACACTTTCCTATGGAGCACTGGAATCACTTGGCTCCCATGTCATCAGCACACAGGCCTATTATGCTCTCATAACAACTGGGCTGTTCATTTGAAATGAAGTACACTGCGTAAAATTTCACAAAACTTTCCTATTTAGAAAAATCTATTTCTAACACTTGTTCAACATATTCTTCTAACTGAACACTACATGTACAGTGAAAATGAAATTAGATTTTAAATAAACATAGACAACTGTTGAATTACAGCACTGTCTTCTGTGTACATGTACATTGCACAACATATGTTTTACAGCCTGTAAGGATATGACTAGAAATGGAGTGAGACTTTGGGCGTATGATGCTTGTATGTATAGCCATACATATCTCATTCTTTCCTATTTACATTATAACTACATCATGTAGAAATAAGCTTTGAATTTAATTGTCTGTAGCATGTGCGACCTTGGAATATATTGGTATTCTTGTGTCCAGTAACCCGAGAGATTATTCATGTAATCTACTTCATGTACTCTCAAACTTGAGTTTAATTAGCTCTGAGCATTCAATAAGACCACTGGCAGTTGAAATTAGCAGGCTGTGCTTGTGCTATCAAACAAAATTTTATACTAAAAAAAGATTTTAATTTTTTTAAACTAAACTTTTGTCTTTTTTTTCTTCAACCCCTGGTTAATCATTTTTCAAATGAAACCATACTCATTTCCTACATATAACCAGAGACTGAGAACGCTCTCAATATAAACCCAGTGAAACCTTTTTGCACAATTACCCTACTAGGGAATTATTTCAGGTTAATTTCCAAACCCTGTGCATGGTAAAGCAGATTCAGGAAGCGACCAGTTGTCAAACCTCCCTACTTGTGCACAGAGCAGGAAGGTCCCAAATACCCATCAAATTGTATCCACTTCAGAGGCCAATTTCATAGCAGATTATAATTAACAGTCAATTGTTAATAATGCCAAATAATTTGTGAGATGTGATCAATAACCCCCCAATCAGATGGCAGGAATTTCTTCAGGCGCTGTACCATTCAAATTATGTACATGTATTTTCTTTCACTGCTGTCTACCGATGTTCTACTCTACTTTCTATATATCCCATCCTCCCACTATGAAAACCACTGTGAAATTTTCCTCCCCAAAACAAGTCAACTTACCAAAACATGCCAGACGTTCTCATTGGCCCCCTCAAAAGAGCAGAATCTGATACTGACCCCAAGTAAACCTTGACCTCCCCACCTTCTGTTAGGGGTCAGTGAGACCTCTCGGACCGATAACGTCTTGCTGCTGTAGACAAGGACTCTAACAGGCCGCTCTTCATTCTCTTTGAGAACCCTCTTTAAGGTGTCATCGTCCTTGTCCTAAGTTGAAAAGAAAAGATACAAAGTGACGACTATTCTGAAATAGTGATTCCTGAATTAGGGACCTTGAGAGTCAAGTTGGCGTGCAATTTTTCATATCTCAGGCTAAAAATTAAGTCCAACCCAATTCATATTTTTTACCATTTTTGATTTGAATATGAATTATGAGGAAAACATGCCTGAGACTTTGCCTCAAATCAATTACCACCAGTGAAAAATGCCTGTGACATCATCTTCTCCCAGGCCAAAGCATTTTATGTACCTATGTACATGTACTTCACAGAACAGTTTATGAAATGAATCTTTTACATTCAAAACAAAGAGCCTTTGCATGTGGACAGTGCTAACTTTATATGTAGGGCTGAGTCAATTTGAATGATTCACTCTTGGGATATTCGACCATCAATCTGATCGAATATCATACCGACCGGCAGATTGTTGATGAACAAACTGTTTACAAGTCAGTTGCAATAATGCACACTATTGTACATTATGATCAATATAATAGCTTCTCACATCTAGGAGTATCTCCAGCCATGATTTAGCAAGATTTAAGAGATGAACAAGACTTCTTGCCCTGTTGTAAATTTCTATTCCTTTTAAATAGTTTCATGAATAATTTACTTTTTGCATCATTGTAAGATTTCTGTCAATTTCATTTGAATCTGCTTGAAACACGCCTCCATATGTAATTTTTCTTATTTAAAAAACGAAAGAAATTTTCTTTTCCTTTTCATAAATTTTGCATTCAAATATTCAAATTTGAAAAATATTATTCGACTATTTGATAATTGATCAAATATTCGGTTATTCAGATATTCAGCACAGCCCTATTTATGTGTACGGTAAAAGTTAATCAATGGGACAACCACACAGAAAAAGTTCACAAACATCTATTCTCTAACTATCAAATCACAACAGGTTCTATCAAGACAAGAGCCTGTACATATACCTACCAGTCTGGTATTTCCAATCCCGATGACGAAATCAAAGAAGGCCTCTAGGCCTGCTTTGTGGCCTGGTGAATTCTCTTGCACCTGAGAAAGAAGAAATAGAGAGCTTCTCATCAAAACCCTGAAAATACAACATCACCTTGGTTATTTCTAAGGATGGATTTGCGTCAGGGAGATGTTATTTTAATATCGGGTTTTGCACCCTGACCAAAGTGTATTGTAACACTGTATACTCAGTGTCTCCCCCGAAAATTGTGTAAAACCACAAGCATACTTGGGTGGGACTGGAACCCATGACTTCCTGCTTACNCTGGCTGGTTCAAGTCAGAGGCAGGAGTGCGTACTGCAAACAACTATTTCCGAGGATGGATTTGGTTCTCTTTTATAATGAAATGAATTTCGATTCTCTTTTGACAAAATCTCACATCAGAAAGAAATTTTACAAATCTAAATGTAGATGTATTTACATGTACATTCTGGTAATAAAATCAAGGATTCCTCAGAGCTACAAGAGGTAAAGGAAAGTTCAATTACATGTACATGTACCTACAAAGTTATATCAAGCGTTGAGGAAAACCTCTGAAATTAAAAGTTTCTTATGGAATCAGAAAGTGATAGAACAAAAGCATCTCTTTTTATGATTTCATAATTTATTTATGGCATGGTGTACATAAAAGTTGCATGAAAAACATTAATTATTCAAAATGTAAAATCTCATCCATATAAAACTTAAGTAAAGTACCGCGAAGCCTATAATTTTCATTTTGAAGATAACCTTTTCAATATCTCGATGAATAATGTGATCCCTGTTCACCTGCACTGCTTGGCATGATCAGTGACCTCTGTTATCACACATGCTAAAGTTCAGCGCAGGCCCAACAGTAAGTCAATTTAGAACTTTATAGAAGATTCAAAGTCAAATGGATAGAGCTGATACCAAACCTTGCCTATAGAATGCTGATGATTCAGACGAAACAAATCACCTTACTTGGTTTGAAGGCAAATAACAGCCTGTGCTCAGAATACGCTACCGTAAAGTGACACAGTTACCTTTGGTCTATGAATACATCCGTCACTGCTGGTACGCTACTCTGCATACAGAAAGGTCACGAAGCTACACAGCAGTTTATGAACCTTGGTCTTTTCTTTAATATTCTTAATTGTTATTTTTGAAGCATTCAGAAAACAGGAACCACTATGATCTATCAATCTGCTTATCTAATGCCACCTGACTTGAGAAAACATTAGTATCTGCATTTTCATTAGAATTCATGGAACTGCACTTATTTTATTAAAAAATTTGTAAAAATCTTAAACAATTGTTATTTGTTATAATTCAGAATTCATCACAATGTAAGAATGACAAAAGATTTTTAGAAACTTAACCCTTAAAAAAACACAGACACACATGCACACAGAGGCAATTGATGAGAAAAAACAATCAGAAAAACAGTTTCTAGTTATCAGTCCTGCCACTTTATAAGTAAATGTCAAAAAGTGAAAATAACTGCTCTTGGTTGTGTCTTCCAGAGGTCAACATTGGAAATTTAGCAAATTTAGTTCTAGGATTCACCGAGACATGGTTCAAAGAATCCCCTCCGTCTTAC